AGACGACCAATGTCGTTCTAACAACAATAATTATAATAATTACAATTACCTTCTATTTTATAGATTCTTGGGGCAAAAAACTGCAAACGAACAACCAAGAGAAACAGGAGTCCAAAATGGCCGAAAATAATAATTCAAACAAGTTCATAAGTTAAGTAAAACAAATGTACCCAAAAAACACAGTGAAATTAATGATATTTATGTATAAAGGTTTTGATCAGCAAAATGTCTTCATTCCTCCCGTAACACCGCTGTCATTACTAGATCTTCCACGTATTTGCGTTTGTCGTCTCTAGGGTTTGTCTTCACTTGATTGTTTGCCTCTGTGTAATCATCGTGTGCCTTGGCTTTTTCTGCTCTTGTTAGTATGATGTTGACTGAGGCCTTCTTGTTCCACCTTTCTTGAACCTTATCCATAGTACAATCAGAGATGTATTTCTTGTGATGGTGCGTCTTGTTGCTCAGGTCCTCATGATGTGTTGGATTGATTACTTCCTTCGTTCATTTCCAGTTGCTCTCCATGGCAGTACCCTCTTTACTGACTAGATTAGGGAAGGCTTGTAACTCATTTCTGAGAATTAGCTTGACTTTATTAAGTTTGTCAACAAACCAAATAAGGGCCGTATTAAACTTCTGTGATACTGTTCACCCCATTTTCCAGTGATTCTTGAGTTTCAGTTCCGTAATGTCCATTATTAAGTGATGACCCTAATCGATATCAGCTCCTTTCTTGGTTTTCACGTCCTCCATTGTCCTACTGAAACTTTGATTGATACATGTAGGGTCTATTTGGTTCTATGTAGTGTGATCCGGTGAAATCTATGCAAAAAGTATACATGTATTTATGTGAGAGTGTCGTCCTGCCTATGACCAGTCTTTTGAAGGCATAGAGTTTTGCAAATCTCTGACCGGTTTCGTTCCTTTCTCCTAGTCCATGTCGTCCCTCGATGTCCTCATATCCAGTGTTTTCCATGCTACCCTTGGCATTTAGGTCTTCCATCAGAATTGTAAATCTCTCGGTGATTCGCAGCAGAGCTGACCTTGACCATCTCCACTGTAATTCGTTGGTGGGTGCATAGCTTTGAACGATGCTACCAAGCGAGATCGTGGATACAGAGCCGCAATGAAACAAAGACATGTGCCGTATACTCAGCATTTGACCCGTGATTTGGGAGATTCCCATGTTTGAAATATTCCCACCAGATGAATATTCTCGGCATTGCTTAATTCATGTGACTCTTCCATTTGTACTGTAAGCTTGTAGCGTTCGCATTTAGGCAGTTGACATTTCTGATTTGGAATGCGTGAGAGTCTGCATCTTGTCTGTCTGAATGAGCCTCATGTGAATGCGCAGGAAACCTGTCTTCACAAGACTTTCGATTTGGGTGTCCGCTATACTTTCCACATACATGAGAAGAATAAATGAAAACTGGAAAGAACAGGAAGTGGAAGCGCAGAAGAGAGTTGGTTGGAAAAAATTGGTCGTCGGCCTACGTTCCATCGGGGGTAACATGCTAAAGTAAGAAAGTAAGTAAGTATACTTTTCACGTTGTTTTCTTGTGCTCGACAGTCCACAGGTGAAATAGTTGGCTGTAATTTGTTTCTGTGCCTAATTCGTGCATACTTGCGAATTCCATTATGCACCCTGAGTTGAGTGGAACGAAATGCTTCAAAAGTAGCAGCCGCGATTTGGACGCAGGGGTTAGCCCTAAAACAGTTATGTACGGCAGATTTTTGCAATTAGTCGACCAGTTGTACATCCTCTACATCATCACTATTAGTGAAATTTGACACGGAGATTGATTCGATATGGTATGTAGTATTCTTCTCCGAGGTAAGCCGTGTAACCGTTGGGGCTTCATTTTGGAAGCTTAGTTAATCTGAGATTGATATCTTTAAGCTTAATCTCTGGATTTATATCAAGATTGTGATAAGACAATCTTAGAAGCAGATTGTACAGCCAATCAATTAACTGATTTCCTTCCAGGACCTAGGCTTTTAAGCATCCTAGTGGAAATCTTCTTTTTGACTCTGCTGTTGGGAATCCACTCATATTCAAAAGGATTTTCTCGGACTCACTGTTGCATTTGAAAAGATTGTACGGGAGGATATCAGTTTTGCTGAGAGAATTTAGCACGGTCGATCTTAAGAAGATGTTGAGTATCTGCAATTCCTCTGATGTGTTTGTGATTGTTTCATCGATACTGGCATCATATGTCAGAAGACTGATTATGCTATTCAGCATATCCTCAGAATGTACGTCATTCCACCTGCGACTTGAAATACGGAGTCTGCAGCAAGAGGCTGCTGCTAGGTCAATGCGTTTTTAGTAGAACCATCCTTTGCATTTATCACACTTCAGACTTATTGTGATAGCGAAACAGTACCCAGGTCTCTTGTGCCTGCTTTTGTTGATGGCGATGAAATGAAGTTACTGAGTAAATAGGGACAAAAATTTATAGTTGCAAATAAAGCTGTAAAATATTTAAATGGATATAGTGGGTGTAAGATCCACTACAGTGGGTAGTATAAACACTCAGAATGCACTAACGCTAAACTCAAAGTGAATAGCAGTGAAAACCGAACAGTAGGCCGAAATACGAACGAACCTTACTATTAGTTCTGATGTACCTCAAAATAAAAACAATCTACAGAACTGTGAGTTCAGGATAGGTTCTTCGAAGCACATATGACACATCTGAAAATATCACGGATGTTCAGAGTTACACAACGCTTTGTTCCGTGACATCTTTCAGATCGAGAATGCTGAAAGACAAGTCAAAACGGAGGTCAGAAATGAGGAGAATCGAAGATTTATTCAAAGGATCTCTGTATTATCGGCAAGTAAATTAGGCTCGCTGGTGGAGACAACAAGATATGATACAACACATACCTCATGGTGATCTGCTGCTGCTGAGTTATGGAGCTCCCTCCACGAGTGTGGTTCTGGCAAAACCGATGAGGTTAGCATCGGTGTCAAAGTCTTAGAGTCGTATTTACAACTACATATTTCATATCATGAAAATATTTATACATATCATCCCTTAAGTTTCTAGCGATGTGAAAGTGTTGTTTAAGATGCATTTCTAGCCTGGAATGGAAGCTATTACTTCCAGATTGGTTTATATGAGTGTTTTATGGGCATAAGTAGTAAGCAGATTAGGCTCAGTACTTTGTGATCCGAATTTTTATGAGCCTTTTTGAACTACTTGTGCTGCAGCACATTCGAAACCCCACTACAACAACTTCTAGTTTCGCCTATCAGTTTATCTTGATCTCATGCTGACTTTATTTATGGTTGCTGTATATTGACTTCTCTTCTGAATGTAAGTGCATTTTATGTGATTAGTGACTTGTCGGTGCACCTTTTCTTTTGTTCTGTCCTCTCATAAAATCTTACACGTTGATCGACACAGAGCCCTATCACACAAGGTACCTCCTAGCTAACCAAAGGTTAAAGTTATAGTACAGAAACAATAGGAAGAGAGATCTAAACATCTGTCGGTTCAAGCCATACTTATTGGACATTAGACATTGGACGTGGAGTATTGTAATCATAACGGTACTCTCGTCGGTTAATATGTATTCCTATTTTTTTCTTACTGTTGTTTGTTGTATATACTAGTTGAAATAAACGCTTCTGGATGTGTTGTGTACTTAAAAAACTCATATTTGTAACTATATGCTAATATTTTCAGGGCCGTGCAAATCACTGATGCTCAACTGCTGTTATTTTCTTATTATTGCATTCATTCGTACCTGCACATTGGTTATCACTCAGTCGCCACCAGATAGGCTGACCTGTTAGCATTTGAATTGCAGGCTGTCGTCCTGTGACTGACGAATTGGAAGATAGCTAGGGGCGGCCAGACCAAAACATTGCAGAAATCCATGAAATCACTGATATGTAAGCTGAGTCATGTCGGTAGGTGTCGACTACCTCGTTGTGGCCCGCGAAGTGATAGTAGTCGAGGATTTCGTTCTTATGTACATCATTTCAAGTTGCCTTATCGAAGGGTAGAAAATATCATAATTAGGGAATTATTAGTGCAACCAGTGTCATTGAAAAATAAGTGTATTTTTTAGGTTTTTAATATCCTAATCAGTACTTTTAAGGGTTTGTTTTCTTTTTAAACTTCAGGATTTCAGTCTCCAGAGTGTTGTTTAACGGAGATAGTCTACCCTATGGTAAATAGATATACACTTACAATATGTTATGATATACAGTCTGCTTTATTTAACTTTCAAAGCCTTCTAAGTGTCATTTTGTTGCTTATATGCACTTGCGCCTACGTAAGACACTTCTCCCCTGCGTTATTGGATTCACGAAAACATGGGTATGCTTGATATTTGTGTACTTAATCCCTATTATTTATCGGTCAAGACTTTTAGGATTGTTCTGGAAGTGTGCAAGAATTGGTCAGTTTAGTTATCTACTTTATCTTAATTTGGATTGTTTACAGGTGAACGCAAAAGTCCTTATATTGCTATTTGTTGCATTGTAATGGCAGGATCAGTACTTTTCAGTTCTTAATTGTAATATATGATTTAAAATAAATCAATAACTTGCAGAGTTCCTACTTCTTTTTTTTACCGCACTATGTTTAGATGCATAATGATTATTATTTTTTTCAGGTTGCCTGATATGTTCTCATCACTTTCTTCCAAGTTAGTCAACCGATTGACCAGACACCCGTGTAGAAGCTGTTCAAAAATGCCTAATCCTTACCGTGACCCGCTAAGATCGCGAGACAATCCCGTTGGCTATATTACTTTTGCTGTGCTTGTTCTACCAATGTTATGGATTATTCACGATAGAGCCTATGATATAGATCAAAAACCTCGACATTGATGATCGTAAACTAATGTGTACTCGTAGGAATTATAATACATATTATATAATATAATATAGATTAAATATATAATATCTATCATTCTTACTATTTCTATCTTTTCACGAAATTTATTTTAAATAATTATAACTATTTTAATGTTTTGTAGATATGGTAAATTTACTTTTGGGACAAAAAGTCTCATCTTGCATACGACGTGGTCCTATAAGTCATACGGCACTTTGTGGCATAACCCGATACGCAATCACTTGTACTTCTTATCATCATTATTATATCCCTACCAGTGCGAGGCTTAAATCTGAGCATCATCGTCACCTAAAGAATACCTATTTATTCACACAATTACAATCAAGGTATCTATTCAGTCGCTCAGGCGGAGGTAGTAGTAGTAGTGGTGGTGGTGGTGTTAAAGATCTATTTATAGCAATTTCCTTAGGCAGCCTATTGCTTGGCGGTTGCTTAACTTTTCGCTGGTATGTAAATCGAATATCTACCTACAGATCTATTGAAAAGAATGATCAAAATAAATCAGGGTTAGTATTTATACGTTCTTTCCTTATCATTATGATTAGTCTTTATATTTGTATTGAATTGTAATAAAGGATTGGCGTCTGTTAGTCTATCAAAGCTTCCTGGCTAGGATCCTCGAGATGGTGCAACTCATTGGCATGAACTGTTATCAGATATGGTTAAGAATAAAAGCCACTTGCTATTCGACCGTATTTTTCTAATGCATTCTTAATAAAAGTGCTATGAACTTCTATAAGTCAATATTTTCTTATCTGAATATATTTTTAACTGATTTGTATTTCTTATAAAATGATACGTTCATTTGCTTATTGATTATCTTACCCTTCTCGAATATTTTATCACAGTGTGCTCACTGCATTTGTGTCGTGCAACTTTCGATACTCTATTTTCCCTGAATTTATGTGTTTTAAATAAACTAACAAAATCATACTGTATTCGTGAAGTTTACGTCAAGTTATTATTCGGTTGATAGCTTTCAATTATCGTAGTCACTGATGGAAAAATTAAAGTGAAAATACCCATTAATCATATATTAAGCTAAATCGACTATTCTTAGAGCGAAATTAAAGGGTTATCGATGCGCATTACAAGTAGCAATGAAAAATAAGTGGTATCAGCAATTTTTCCCAAGTACGTTTGAGTATTACCGAAAATGCGTTGTTCACTGTTCGCTTTTATCATAACTTACATAGTTTTTTTCACATCTCTTACTAATTCAAAGTTAAAAATTGATATCTCATTAATATGCTTATAAGGAGTGAGTGAAGCCGATTTTAAATGTATCAGTTGTCTTTTAGTTGCGAGTTAATTTTTGAGAAGGAGTAGTGATTAGCTAAGAGGGATTGAAAATCGAGTACTATATCATATTAGCTTATGTTGCAGTCCTTATAAACTATTCAATAAGATAAAGGCTAATAAGATCTAAAAGCCCTTGGTTCGAGTCTCGGTTTAGATAGGTGTACATTTCAAGGAAGTCCCATAATGGGGCGAAATAACTGTTCAGTACTTTCTCCATAAACTTATTGTGCTACTTATTCGACTGTATTTTCGTGATTGTTTCGTTGCTTCCTTGAGTAAAACTGTGGATCATAAGAATATTTCTTAACGGTCTCATTTTAGTACATGCTAAAATTAATACTTGTCATTTCTATGCTTGAATTTCTACTAATATTAATTGTTTCTAGTGGTGACTTAGTTTTCCACCGTCACTGCCATTACACTCATAGATCAAACGCTAAACTAATTGTTGAATCATGTTTGTTCCTTAATAATTAAGTAGAAAAACCGAGTAATCAATGTTGGGGTTAAGTATACGGTACTAGAAGAGGTAAGATAACAGTTGTGATTAGGTTGCAAAACTTCTGTAAGTGAAGACTTTGGGACATTTATTACAAATGCCTATCTACCGCCTACCTCAAAAGGGCGGTTTTTGCTGGTATATAATCAAGTTACAGAAAAGCTATAGGCGGTTATATCAAAACGTGGCATCAGTTCATGAAATCACTGACTTTTTGAACTGTGTTGGTTGATACAAGCTGGTTAATGTTCATGCGATAGTCGCTACCAGTGTTTGGAGACTTTAAGTGACGTATCCCAGTCGTTCACAATGGCACAAGTCCACTCACTCATCTTCACCTCGATTTTGAATTCAAGTATTCCACTCCTTCCCATTTTATCTTTTTAAACCATATTCCTGATGTCCAGTATTTCTCATTATCACTACTAACACATTATTTCATCCTTTCTTTGTGTTCATGTTGTTATTTTCGTCTTGTCGCGCTAATCGGCTATGGTAATCTGGGCCATCACACGTTTGTGTTACCCTCTACTTCAATGATGATGGACTGATATTTTCCCACGCAGTCCTAACCAATTCTGTAGAGCTCCTTAAGTTTTTATGCAATCATTTTAACGTTTTTTTCATTATATTGTTAACCGCAGAGGATTTGTCTAATGTGTAAGCTGTACCTCAACATTCTTTACGCATAACCACGTTATTCCATTCTATTCTATTTTATAAGCCCTTCAAAATAGTCTCATATATAGTTCGCTTTCGCTGAATTCCCATTTTGTACCCACTGATTAATATAATTATCTAGAGATATTGTTTAAACTATCATGATTTCCTTATCATCAAGTATACTAGCTACTAAGTATCCTGAAAAGTATACCACCTGTATTATTTGTATGAAGCTGGATATGAATACTGAAATATTTATTTAACGAAGCAATAGTCAGAGAAATACTTTTGTTATATTATTCGCACCATGTATCTAAGAAAGAAAAAATGATTGCACTTTTTATGTTATATATTTATCAAGGCTGAAACCTGACAAACATTCAGCGACGCCGGACACTCAATCAATTCAACATGAAACTAAAGATTCAAATGATCGTTCACCTGCTATTGTAGAGCAACAGCCGTTGGATGATTTGGATTCTGTCGATTCTCAGGCTACTAAATCTCAAAAAGATACAACAAAAGTTACAAATTCAGAATTTCATGATGAAAGTAGGTAACCAGTTGTATGCTATATTATTTGTCGCATCTTCCTAGATTAATGTTTTCAGAATTTTCAGTATTCATCCATCTGGCTAAAGTTTTTGAGTTACGTTAATAACTTGATTTTGTAAGTCACTCTAACGCATATTCAGTAGTTAGAGGCAGTCTTCAATAAATTTGAACTTATATTATGCTTAAAAGTACCGTAACCCAGTGATCTGTGGTTTGAAGTTACTCAATAAGTTATTCGTAAGTAACATAGAACCTGGTACACATGCACTTAAGATGATATATATCAATCATCTCAGAGATATGCAATTATCATTAAAAAAACGACAGAGTTGTCGATATAACAACAAGATCAGTTGTGGCTGAGGAAATCGGGTATAAAAAATACCACTAGCGAAAAAATAGTGGGTTCGTGGAATAAAATGTGTTAGATAATTTTTGAACTCAAGACCTAAGGAAAGACCCACGGAATTCACCTGGACCATTTCGACGTATGCTGAATCACGTTACTATCGTTTCATGTCAAGGTAGGCTGTGGTTAGGCAAATATCGTACACACCCCAACCACTTCATTTGATAAAGATTCGCAGCGCCATCCACCAATTTTTCAACTTTACCTAACAGTGCTTTCTTTACTAATGTGAGTTATGTTTTTGTTGGATTTATAATTACTTGGTCCATCTCCTAAAATATGCCATTTGTTATCAATAATATTCAGTTCAAGAACCAATGATTACCACTATGTGGAATAAAGCAAGACTAACGAAGGTGGACGAATTATGTAGATTCACTTATTTATAAATTATGAGCAGTTCAAGAGAATCCACAGAATGAATCCATATCGTTCTGCTACGTTCTCTGTTACTTTATTCAAACTAATCAGTAGGGAAAATTGTATGAACTTATCTCTGAAGTAATAGTATTCTAACTCATTAATCAAGTCAATATTTCTACGTCATAAACCATGCTTTGTAGGTTACAACTGATAACACTACTTGACTGAATAAACCTGAGTAAGCTGGGTATTCAAATCGCGTGGTTTACTAACTAAAGTATTTTCATACAATTAAACTGTTACAAACAGTCTGTCTGAGTAAACAAGGAACTACAATTTTTTCTCACATACACAACAGTTTGCTAAACTTTAGTAAAACAAGAATAACTAACATTAGGATAATGTGGATTCGTTTTATTTCATGTGCCCTTCCACATAATGATTTCTATAAATGAATAAAAGATTTTACAAATGTAACCCCTAAATTCTACCTGCCGCTATTCAATTAAGTATGGATCATAACGTAACTATTTACAAAATTTTGACAACTACGCTGAAGGGACTAATTTCGTACAACAAACAAGAACTCAAATTTGAAGAACCCAATATCCAGTTCTATGATTTTATCGCAGATTCAAACACAATATAAAATATTTGATTTAATAGTAAATTTAATAGTTACTTACCACAGGTAGGGACATTTTAAAGAATTACCCAACATGTTGTACGTTCCCATGATATTCATATCAGTGAATATGTCTTATGATGTGTTGTAATCTCTGAAATTGGTAGATGCATATCATGACTTAGTGTTTGAGGCACTGCAAGTGTGAGTCAATGTTGCAATTATGGGAAGAAAGGTTGGTTGCCAATTTTGGATTTGTTTCCTTGCTTTTGAATATAAACATATTGATGTGATCAAACCCACCACCCAGGACATAGAAACAGATTACAAATCAATCGTAGGACCCCAAAATATTAATATTACTTCGGTCCAGAGGTTCATGAGCTGGTCAAAATGAACTTGATCACTCTTACTGTTTGATGACCTGTGACTTGGCTCCAGCTTGGACGAATGGTCGAGTATGCAGTGAAATATATCTTCCTTTCCATTTCCGTATATAATACTTAGCCAAACGCCGTTTGTGCGACGGTGGTAATAAGAAGCCGAATACGGCTTTATGGATGAATTTATTTCATGCGTCTGTTTAAGCAGACAGGCATGATAATGAGAAGCGTACAAGCAAAGAGAAGTGAGTTGGAGAAGGCAGTTGAGCTAACTCTTATGCACTGAAGCATAACTAAGTATTTATAGCTAGTCAATAATAGGCTAGACAGGTATTAAGCGAGTTAGCATGCACACACACTTAAATATAAGATTGTCGACACTGTTATTGATTTATTGCAAATCTAAAAAGTGGTCGATACTATTATCGAATAATTTAAACAAGCTCGGGTGTATGTGAGGTGCTATAGCGGCTTGCGGAAACTTATTTCATGTATAAATCGGTGTAGAAGCCACATTATGATGGTTCACGATACTTCTAGTTACTTCCGAAGTTTCTTTGCAATTTGTTATCACCACTGTGCTAAAGCATGCGTTAAATTCTTCTTTTCTATCATCTTTCTGACCTCCCAAATTATTGTTTGTACAAAGTCGCTAGGACGATTATTCATCACGAAGTGGACGCAACCAGATTTAATTTGGTTTTCTTGTTTTCCGGTTCTGTGACTAGTTGTTAAACTGTGTTAGTCATAACCCTAGAAACTGTCATTGTAGAATTGTACACAGATTGAGATTGAAACAATGAGTAGCTGCTGCTTCTACGTAACGTAGAAGTTTTCCGTCTTTCTGTCTGTTTATTCCTCGAAATTCAGTATCAAAATATATTGATTGGTCCTCTTTTTTCGAGTGTCGTCTTGTAGCACTGCTAAGTAGTCCGGAGCCGTTTACTGCCGAATTCCTTGGTATAATCTTCAAGAGTGCTTTTAGATAATATCGTTTTTGTTCTTCCAACACACATGCTACACAAGAGCACTTAAATAGATTAATGCAACTAGAAGCAACAACACTGAATAATGGGTGAGAACTATTCTTTCCTAAGTTAGCTTCTTTTTCTACATGTATATACCTAAAGTAATGACCCAAAAAGTGTTTAAGTTTATTTTAGGTCTTAAAGTACGATGGTCATGTCATGTACATGGTAAACTTTTAAATGATACACTATTTTACCATATCAATGAGAGGTTTACCACTTTCTTTCTGTATATAATGGCAAGGTAGTGTGATTCTTTGGTCAGGAATACGGCACCAGGTAAGGATAGCAAGTCAATTGATGAGGTAGTGAATCTTCATCAACCGAGGTGATTGGGTCATATGTTACGTGTGTCCACCCACCGCTTACCTCAGTGCTCGATGATGGCTGGTAGAAAGCTAAGTGCGACCAAACTGAATCACTGAAACAATCTATAAAGTCATTGACAATCGGATGCAGCCATTCTCTTATAGGTTGGAGTCTGCGCGATTATCGGAACCGATGGTTAGAGGCTTTGAACAATATGGCTCAAAACCGTTCACTACGGTGCAGGTGTATTCACTATGTCTTCCTTTGGATCCCAAGTTTCTAAACTACCAATATTTCCTTTAATATTTTATTTTTTCCTCTCGAGTTGTATCTCCGGGATTTACCTCGACAATTTCATCTAGCTGTTAATACGTAGTACCAACTTGAACCGATGTACTCACGTACCAGATTCTGTATTGCGTTTGACTAACTTTTGTTGAATACCTTGAATAAATAAGGGATGAACCGATAAATCATATGCTTTTATTAAGGTTTCTTTAATAGATGATATTGTAATTTACATTATTGGTATCACCTTTTATGATTATACATAGTAGATCATGAGTCTTACAATCATCGTGGTTTTTTTGCAAGGTACTTAGATTTCATCATAGTAACTATCAAAAATTAAGTTGTTTAAATGCTTCATTTTTCTAGGTTATATTAAGGTTTGCATAGTAATAATATTCTTAACTTGAAAACTTAAATCTAAAATTTTAACTCATCAAAACATAAATTTGAGGATTTTCCTCATGTATATAGGTTTACGAATAAAATATCCAAGAGAAATTTACATCATCTAATTGTTCTGCATGGCAAAATGACCATATTTTCTTCTGCCTGTTGTAATAGTTTCTGTTTTTGTTATGATATCTCATTAACAGTACCGGACTCACTTGTGTACATTAAACCAGAGGATAGAGTATTCCCCACACATGTACCGTACATTATTGTTGGCGCTGGAGCGGCAGGAATGTCAGCAGCCCGTTCAATACGAGCTTCAGACTCAACATCTAGAATCCTGTTAATTTCTGGCGGTAAAGGACCAAGTCCCATAGCAGAACCAGGTATTGAAGAAACCTTATTTGTTGAGCCACCACCTTACTTGAGACCACCTTTAAGTAAAGAATTATGGAATCGAAATATTGATAAAGAGAAAAAGTTACTTCGCAGCGATGGAGATATTCGTCGACACTCATGGCTATACTACGAACCAGATAGCTTTTTTTTGGAACCAGAAGAGTAAGTTTTTGTACATTGTATATGTCGTTTTTTCGAGCGAAATAGACGTTCTCACTATTTGTTTTATATTTCGATTCTTTTGTGAAATCAAATATTATCTACTGTTGGTTTATGAAGTCTTCATAACTTTTTCTAAAGTTAAACTGTACTTGAGAATTATTATTTAGGCTATTATTCATTTGCTTACTTTTACGCTTTGAGTATTATAATAAACTAATCAATTTAGATTTTTTTCATTCTTTCTTTGAATATGTATCCAGTCTGAATTCTGTGCAATATGGTGGAATAGCATTAATGCGAGGTGATCCTGTAGTGCGTCTAGATCCTGATAAACATACCATTTTTCTAGCATCTGGTAGACGGATAACCTATGATCGTTGTCTTTTAGCTACAGGTGGTTCCCCTAGACGTTATAAACATTTAGAAACATGTAGTAAGACCGGTGTAAATCTAACTGATACTGGACATGTTTCTTACTTCCGTAATATAGCAGATTATAGGTAAGCGTGCTTTGTAATATGTATAGATTTGTTATTTTGCTAATTTTTCTGATATATCATTTAACTTATCAGTCAGATTAACTTTCATTTTATATTGTGTTCTCTTGTTGTATATTTTTACTCAATAAGGAATAAAAGATTTGCTTTGTGACGTACTTTATAGAAATCTTCGTGACCTCGCTGACAGACTTCGTCAAACTAGTGGTGGTAAAATAGCTGTGATTGGTGGTGGTTTTCTCGGAAGTGAATTATCCGTTAGTTTATTAAAGCAACCAGATTCTACGGACAACAAGAATGATACTTCCGATTCAGAAAGTAAATCAAATCTGTCTGTAATGCATGCATTTCGTGAAACAGTTCCAATGGGTAGTGTATTGCCACCATGTTTAGCTTCAGCTGTTGGACGTTTTGAATCAAGTAAAGGTGTTGAATTGTGGAGTTCATCAGATGTTGTCAGTTTATCACTTATTCCTAATACAACTGTTAATACTACTACTATCGAAAGAGAACAGCAGAAGCATTTACCGTCGGAAAATTCTGAGCGTATTCGCTTACGTATCAGACGTACCGTGTCTGGAATTGAAACAGTAGAAGAAGTAGACGTTGATCATGTTGTTTGTGCTGTAAGTTCCTTGGTTTTGTCATTCAATATAATTCACACAATATATCTATTAAAGAAGTACTTTCAACTACATAATGATATTACTTGAAGAACTTTTGAAAGAAAGATCTTCATTTCAGGCGGTTGTTAGCTCGTACTCAAATATTTTTATCACCATAACAATTTGTTATTCATTGATATGTTGTACAATTACCTAAGTGTATTCTGCAATATTCCGATAATTTATTCTTGGTTATCTAGCCTTTTCAATTGCAAACTAGGTTGTCACGATTACATTCAAACGAGCTAAATGATAATGTGTTTATCACTCGGTTTGAAATTGTTTTAGACGGATTTACGTATGGAATCAATGATAATGCATAGTTCTTAAGAGATTCCAACTTCAGTTGATTGGTCACTTGCATATAGTTTAATTTAATAGAAAATAGTGTCTCTAATTAGAGGATTTATCTCTAGAATGATGAATATGTACACCCGTATCATTCACGTAGCCGAAATGCATTAAAATGAAGAAGTTATTTCTTACAAGTCTGAGTTACATTCATATGAGAACCACTTAGTTTTTCTTATATGTGATGTCTTATTTGGTTGTTAGACTTTATGTTCGCGATCAGTTACCATTTAAATCAGATTTTATATTTTATTGCTTATAACTCATTTCATGTGGAATCAAATTTCCAGTAGTAAACATTCAGTTATTTTGGGTTCAATCCTGCAAACTTATTAGTCAATATGTTATACTTAAATGACATAACCCTTCTTATTCAAGAGGTTGACATAATACACAGTCACTTGAACACCTTTGATAACAAAATGAACTTGTTTGGTAAATGCTTTTATCCCTGTAAATGTTTAGTGTTGCTTCATTACTGGTTTCCATCAACACTTTAGCTAACGAGAGGTCGCGATGTACGTTAAGAACTTGGACATCTCATTCTTGGTGCAAAATTTTAGAGCATAGACAAGATATCCATCTACTAATTAAAAAACGACTATACTAGACAACAGTGAACTCTGTATTACTCTATGTCTTTGGAACGCACTCTATGGTGGAGGAAGTATAAACTTAACTCATCAGTACTTTCGAAGCCTCGCTCGCTTATCGCTGAATGACCAAGTGAACAGTACAGTTAATCATAGGCCTTAAGCAAAGTTGGCAGATCAGCTGATGGATTGATGCAGTTAAGACGTTTGTTACGTATCTTAATCACCATTTATCTTCATACATGATATTAACTTGTGTTGTAGAGTAAGTTGAAGGAAGTCGAAGAGTGACCACGCCAAATTGTGGCTTTAGTTCCCGAAGTCATTAATTGAATCGTATTGGTCCATCTAGATTATCTGGTTGATTTCTGTGCTATCATTGGTTGAAGATATTTGGTGGAATAGCTCAGAATCTTTCTCAATTACGTAGGTTCATTCGCACTTTTTCTTCTACTAGATCATGAATTTTAGTTTTCCATCTTACCTATTTTTCGTGTCTTCTTCATGAATCACACTATCAGTGCTAATTCTTTCTTACTTTTGTAATGTTGTATTATTATTATTATTCACATGATAATTATCCGTCCTAATTTTGTCCTGCTTAAATGTTATGAACTATCTCTCATTTACATATTTTTTTTTTGATAGATTGGCATAGAACCAAACACAGAACTTTCTTCAGATGCATCTCTTGAAGTAGATCCTATTAATGGTGGATTTTTAGTGAATGCTGAATTGGAAGCAAGACAAGGTGTTTACGTGGCAGGTGATGCAGCGTCTTATTGGGATCCAGTTGTTGGTTGTCGACGACGTGTCGAACATTTGAATTTCGCCGAAGAAACTGGGTCATTGGCTGGAAAAAATATGGCCGCTTCATTATCATCTGGAAATAAGACATCTTTATCTACAACAACATCATCGTCACACTATCAACACCAATCATCTGTATGGTCTACACTTGGTACAGAAATATCATGGGATGCAGTTGGATTGATTGACTCACGCTCACTTTTAACACGTGCCTTCTTCGCTTCTTCTTCTACTACCGGTGACAATGATGATAATGAAACTGATCATAAGTCATCTAAGGATAAGAATTCTTCTACCAAATCTTTTCTCAATATACCTGATTCTAGTATAGGTAGACTTACTAAAGGTGTAGTTTTTTATCTGAATCCTAAAGATAAAAGATTAGTTGGCATTCTACTATGGAATATGCCTGATGAAATTTATGTAGATAAAGAATATCCAGCACCTAGTCGGTTGAATTTAGCTCGTAGTTTATTAGCTCAAAAACTTATCATTGATCTTGACAATTCTACAGAAAACACCATGGAAAAAGGCTCAAAAAGTAATAATTTACTTCATCTAGCCAGTCAATTTGATGTTTATGGTGAAATTGCCGAGGACTATGCACATTTACAAGAATACATGAAAAAGAAGAGACTCGATGAAAATAATAGTGATTTAAATGATGCCACTAATAATAATAATGATGATGATGATAATTCCACATCTATTTCTGTAGATAATAAACCTTTAAATGAGTAGTATTTTCAAACAATAACAATTACTCATGTACATATAGATTTTTGTAGTATTTAAATATGAGCATTCAGTGAAGGAAAAAAACACTCACCGTTTTGTTTTTGCTATTTCTACTTTCATATGGATTATGTAGAGAGTTAATCAAATGGAAATTGAATAAATAAACGTTCTTCGAGATCCTGTTTCGTTTTTTTGTTTACTGTTTGTTGTTGTGTTGTATCTTGTGGAGTAAAACCCTCTGATGATATATATTTCATGCTGTCTAATATTTTGGAGAATACGTCATCTTTCTCGGTGCCTGCCGGGTTAAATCAACTGAGTAGGGGGGGGGATTATTCAGCTTCAGATTTTTTATGTATAACATTGAAGCCTACTGAACGTATTTATAGTTTGTGTTGCTGAGTCATTTCACAGTTGATTTTCAAACATGTCACATGATGAAAGCATACAACTTCTGATGAATATATGAAGTAAATATTGATAAATTAATCCCCTAATGACTTTTAAATACTGGTGCTAGTCAATTCTAGGTAAATGAGGGGTTGTTAGTTCTTGTTCTCTCACTCAGTGAAAAAATCTTTCTATTTTATACTTGCGACGGAAATTGCATTATATTTGTGTTGACCTTGAGGTGTTAATGTATACCAAAAAAATAGCTATTTGGGCTCGGCCATCTGTAACTTATTCCTTAAAAGTTTTCCCTTTAAAGTCCAATGGTTTTACATAGTTTAGCTTTGACATCGGAAATCTATAAGTGAGCAAAAGCAGTACTACGGTTATGACCGAATTCCTCTTAATCCTTCTAGTTGTATATATATTTGCGGAGGCTGCTACCTTAACTTGGTAGTCGGGCTTGCCTATCGTGATGACCCAACTGAGCTATATTTGGCAGGTCGATTGGAGAACGATGAGACTAAAAGCAGCTACCCAAGGTCTAAAGGCGAAGTCGTACTGCAGAGGGGTGCGACAGCAGTAATTTGTTACCCTCGGACAACCAGCATCTGCAGCGATGCTGCCTTCTCACAAGGAAGGAAGGGTTAGAAAAAGTCGACCCTAAAAATATCACACCTCTCCCTACCTCAAGGATTTCCGTCTCCGGTCGTAAAAGTGCCCACTAAGGGCCTTTAAGAGCGAAGCTAATCCTCAAAAAACCTTTCATAAGAAGGCCGTGCGTGACCGGCCTCAAGCAGTTGTAACTTGGACTCTGCGGTCATGCTCCCAGGTCTCTAAGACCAACGCTACTCTACCTTCCTTTTCAGGTCCCTCAAGAAACAACCTTCCACGGTGTGGACAGCCGGGAAGTTACAACCATCCTCATACCCGTAACAACACACGAGACCAAATCGGTCGAAATCAAATCCTTCCTACACCCACACACACCTCTTTTCTCTCTACAACGAACTCTACTCACAGTCCCTTTTCTCACTGCACCGCTAATGCAGACGATGCGAGTTCACGAAACGTCATTCCTGGTTTCTTGAAACCTCGTTCTAGACTACATGTTGGAGCTTTTAATGTACGGACATTGTGTCAAATAGGGCAACAGGCTTCCTTAGCTAGGACTTTAGAATCTCGTGCCATCGATGTACGCTGTGTCTCGGAAACGCGCATACAGGATCCTAGTAAAGTCATTAATCTGATTTCACCTTGTCAAAATGAAGAAGCAGCTCAATTTACTCTTCGTGTATCTGGAAGCCCTGATGCTGCTTCCAGAGATCTTGCTTGCGTAGGCATAACATTGAGTCGTAGGGCAGAACTATCTCTCCTAGACTGGATCCCTGTAGAAATTCGATTGTGCGCTGTCCGACTGAACGGGACAGTAAGGAATCGCAAAGATAGGGACATTCGTCGTATCTGCTTATGCCCCCACTGACTGCAGTTCAGACGTGGTGAAAGATGAGTTCTACAGAAAGCTTTCGGACCTCCTCCAAAAATCTAGGCGTTCTGATGTACTAATAATGGCTGGTGAATTTGATGCTCAAGTAGGTAGACTAAGTGAAAATGAAAGACCCCTAGGTGGATGTTATGGTGTCGCGACTGAGAGAACAGACAATGGTGACCGTCTGTTGCAAGTATGCTCAGATAACCGCCTATTCCTAGCAAACACTAAATTTAGGCATAAGGAAAAGCATCTGTTGACCTGGCAACCTCCAAAGCTGTCTCAACGTTGGAATCAACTAGATCACATCGCCATCAGCCACCGATGGAGGGGTTCGATAGAGGACTGTTGCTCGTTCTGGGGAACATGTATAGATTCAGATCATGCTCTAGTGCGAGCTCGTATTTGTTTGCGGCTTACTGGACGTAGGAAAGACACCGTAAGGAAGCCTCTTAGGGTTTTACTTAATGATAATCAAACCAAGAAAATATTTCAGGAGCAACTAGAAAAAGAGTTAAGCAACCATGCAAGCGATTCCCATCCAGAAGCAGGTTGGTATGATATCAAAAAGGCTGTGGAAACAGCAGTGATATCTGCTAGGAAGGTAAACCATGAGGCTAGGATGAAGCCGTGGATCTCAATAGCATCTACCGAACTGATGGATGCTCGAAAACTCACCCTGCCTGGCTCTGAGGACGACGAGGTGCTGAGTCAGCATAGACGTAGACTGACAAAAAGCCTACGCAATGATCGAGAACGGTGGTGGGTGGAGAAAGCGAGAGAGATGGAAAAGGCAGCGGCGATACGCAACAGTAGGCAACTATTAAGACTCATCAAGTAAACTGGTATTAGGAACCCAAGTGTGAGTGAGGCTATTTCGGAAAAGGATGGTCTTATTATCCATTCTCAATCCAGGAGACTGGATCGATGGGCAGAACACTTTAGGTATCAGTTCAACTGGTCTCAAGCCACTCTTCGGTTACCCACGATCTCCAGTCATCCTGAATGGCGAGCCGACGTACGTCCCCATAGTCTTTATGAAGTTGAGAAAGCGTTGCGGAGTCTGAAGCGAGGGCGAGCTGCAGGTCCTGATAGACTGACCCCTGAGATATTTAAGGATGGTGGTCCAGTTTTAGCAGCTACATTGTCTGAGATCTTAGGTAGAATCTGAGAACTAGACATAATCCCATCCGAGTGGTCTTAATCACTGAGTGTCCCAATCTATAAGAAAGGAAAAAAGTCTTCTTGTGACAATCACAGGGGAATAAGTCTAACTAATATAGTATCTGAAATTTTGGCCTCAATAATACTTCGACGCTTAGCGAAAGCTCGTGAAGAGCAAACTCGAGAAAACCAGTCTGGTTTTCGACCTGGACGTGGCTGTATAGACCACATTTTCACACTACGACAGGTCCTGGAATACAGACACACATTTAGACGTCCTACAATAGTCGTGTTCCTGGACCTAAAAGCGGCATTTGACTCAGTGGATCGTGAGGTTCTTTGGCAGTGTCTGTCATTTCAAGGTGTATCAAAGAAGTACATTAACCTCATACAAGCTCTCTACTCGAACACCACTGGTCGAGTGAGGGCTGATGACGAACTGTCACCGGAATTCTTTACATCAAGTGGTGTCCGTCAGGGATGTCCACTTTCTCCATTCTTGTTTAATTTTATCATAGACATGCCGCTAGAAATAACCTTATCCTTTTCTGAATTTCCAGGAGTAGACCTTCTACCAGGTGGCTCGCTTATTGACTTAGAATATGCCGATAACATAGTCCTACTTGGTGAAGACGCTGACAAAATGCAGAGTCTTCTGACTATCCTAAGCAACAATGCAAGCATGTTCGGGATGCGGTTTTCCCCCTCGAAACGCAAAATGTTGCTTCAAGATTGGGTTTCATCGGCACCTGAACTAGTGATAGGGAGTGAAGTAGTCGAACGTGTAGACCGCTTCACTTATCTGGGGAGTCTTATCAGTGCTGATGGCCTGGTGACTGACGAAATCTCAGCTCGGATACAGTAGGCTCGATTGGTTTTTTCCAAGCTGCGTCACTTATGGCGTAGGTGAGATATCCGTTTGCTGACTAAAGGACGAGTATACTGTGCAGTAGTTCGCTCGGTCTTACTTTATGGTTGTGAAACATGGCCAGTGAGAGTAGAAGATATCCGTCGGTTATTGGTTTTCGATCATAGGTGTCTTCGAAGCATTGCTCGTATATCGTGGAACAACCGAGTGAGCAACGCTGTTATTAGGAATCGGGTGCTAGGTAAGAATGGCAGATCAACAGATGAAGTGGTGAAACTTCATCAGTTGAGGTGGTTGAGACATGCGCTGCGTATGCCTAACCACTGACTGCCTGGACGAACTTTGTTTCGTAGTGTAGGAATAGGTTGGAAGAAAGTTAGGGGCGGCCAAACCAAAACATGGCACAAATCCATGAAACCTCTGAGAAGTGGACAGAGTCATGTTAATAAATGTGGGCAACCTGATTGGAATCCGTGGGACGAAAGTAACCGATGATTAGAGATTTGGAACGACATTGCTCAAAATCGTTTGTCTTCTGACTTCCTCATGTCCTCTGTCTTTCTCTTTATAAATTTATCTCACTGAAATATATTTAAATAATATCTTCGAACCATGATCTTCTCCATAACCACTAATATTCCTACTGTCTCTACCACTATGGTATTTGAACTGACAATTGCGTCTCTGTATTAATATAGTATGACAACCTGGACTGATGTACTTACGTACGAAGTTCTACGTTGTCACTCACTGACTGATACATCTATTAAGAAGACTACACAGTATCATGAATAATGAGAAGTTACAATCTTTATATAATCTGATCATTTGTAGTACAAGTGATACAGGTACATAATTAACTGTGATTTTTGATCAATAAAAGTTCAGTCAACAGATGTTAAATTAAATAAGAGCTTATAATGACATTCTAAAAATACCATCAACAAATTATTGAAGGAAACCGTGATATTGATATATTAATAGTTTTAAAAATTGTAACTACCACTTATCCGTCTGTATTTAGCACTACACCTGCTAGACAATTATATTATTGATCTGTTCTCTGTGTCTTTGTATCTTTTTATTCATTGAATTCTTATTCTAATCCACGTTGTACTCACTAATAGAAGAACTACCTTAATTTTAAATAAAAAGTTCCATTGTTTAAATTGTACGATGCATTCAAGTAAAATTTACTTCTTGAATTTTTCTTTCAATAGAATTTAAGCTTACAATATTCTGTTAAATTTTAATCGTACTAAACTTCTATCAGATACATAATCGTGTAGTAAACTGAAAGATTGACATTAACTTAAGAAACTGAAATGTGTATAAATTGATATAAAAAACTTCATGTATATATATATACATATATGCAATGTATGAAATTTAGTAGTTTGTTTTTCTTTACGTGATTCTTTTTTATAGCACATATGTCAGGAGTTTTAAAAAATTCTGTGGACTCTCCATCACCCCTAAAACTAAAGGTTAGTTGATATCAATTACTTTGTGTGTTTCAGTCCGTACTATATAACATCAATTTAACTGAATACGTTTTACGTGTAAATGATGTACACATATACTTCAAGTTATTTTGGATGATTTGGAATCTCTGAACTTGGTTTATTATTCACAAAATTATAATGTCAACAATTTGTTCATTAGAACAACAAAGTACTGATGTCGCATCAGAAGGTATTATTTACTTTCTAAGAAATTACTAATAACGTTACTGTCTGATACTATGTATAAAATGGATGAATGAAAAAATGCGTCAACAGAAGAACGTAGTTATTGCTGTTTTGTCCTAAATGATTAAAGCAAAATGTGCTTGTGTGTGATCGTAGTACTGGTAACTTCACTTATATTTGCTCAAACTCAATTCAAGAACCTCTGTTAAAAAGTGTCTGCATCTTCGTTTGTAATCATATATGCCTAATTTGAAAATAGATATCTTTGTTGTTTTTGTTTTTGCTTTTCAACTTTTGATTACACAAAACTAATGGATTCCTAATTTGCATGACTTATTTGTAAACTATCTCAAATTAGTAAATTTTGTTAGATATGATATATCTTTCTATCACTTCAAACTTTCAGATTAATCATTGGTTTGCGGTTTCAGCATGGAAATGGTGTACAAACGACGATGACTGTGGTATTTGTCGGAACGCTTTTGAAACATGTTGTGCAGATTGCAAACTTCCAGGAGACGATTGTCCTCTAGTTTGGGGTCAATGTAACCATTGTTTTCATATGCATTGTATTATAAAATGGTTAAATAGTCAACAAATGGCACAACATTGTCCTTTATGTAGACAAGACTGGCGATTCAGAGAATAGGCTTTTAATTTTCATATTTTTGTAATTTATTAATATATGAACTGAGCAGCCGTCTTTTCGTAATTCTAAATTATTATTTAACACTTATGGAAAGTTCAATAGCGTTTACTTAGGCCCCACATATATTTATATTTTATTTGTCTTAGCCGCTGAAACATCATCTTTAAGTACATTTATCTGTACAAAATGTAATTCAGTAAAGTTTTTATTTCTGAGATATCTCAATTTCAAACTCGGTTATTAAGAGATTTACATCTTGACCAACTCTATCAGATAATAAATTATACTACGTTTTTTTCGTATTCACTTATGGTTATATAGTACAAATAATCAGAACGTTTTTATTCCATCAGACATCTATTCTCTATTAGTTAATTTTACTTTGACGTTTCATATTCATGTTTAAACAGTAATTTATGTTCTCGACGCCGAATCAATTACATTAGCTATTAGTTTTGAGTTGCAGAGTACATTTAACATATTTCCACTGCTAATAACTATGTAGAGACAAAAAGAATATTATGGAATATTCAGAATGTAATTGTAATCCCAACAGAGAATATTGAGTTGTTTGGTAAATATCACTGACATTGTTCAGAAAAATTTGTTATCCAAACATCGCCGTAAAACCAATCAACTCTTAGATTTATACTAATATCTGTGGTATTTTATCGGCAAATTAGTGAACTTTATCTATGTATATTTCCATGTACAACGAAGTTAGATTAATATCTAAATTCCATCATTGTTTATTAAAGGGAACGAACTGGACTATATAACTGCCAAACAGGATTAACGGAGCTTATAAAAAAACTACTTATAATAAACTACGCCCATCTCGAAATACGACATTGGTATTCAAAGACTAAGGCTTGTGTGTCGAAAACGGTAATATTATATTGAGATTCAAATGGCAGAAACTTTCCGCACTAATTTAAGCAAAATGAAGTGGAGATTCAGTTTGTTAATCCAATGCCATGTAGCTCAGGAAATTCTGTCACAACTTTGCTGCAAATGCTAATGAACTGAATGTGTCGGTTGGGATTCGGTTCTTGTTATGAAGTAGAGGACTACAGTATTTCAAAACTGTGTAAGAAACAAAACTGTAGAACCGTCTTCATTTCAGTCTTGGAAGCTTCTGAGACTATCCTTTAACCGTATCATTCCCAAGCGTAAATTGTGTGAAAGTCGGGCAAAACATCAGTCGTAAAAGGCAACTGCAAAGATTCATAACTGAGTTCGGTTATGGTCAGTTGATGATGGGGCATCTTCACCGGTTTCTACTCCTGCAGCAATACAGCGACCCAAAATGCGATTTTCTATCATTAGACTGCATTTCTACTTGCCAATACACGGAAAAGACTTCTGATATGGGAACCTAGCAAGTATCCTTCATTGACTCCAATGTATGGTCATTCTGTATCTGACCTATGTTGTGGCAGTGATTATCCGAAATTGATGGCCAAGGAGTACAATTTTACTTTTGTTTATTCCGTTCGAGCCGAAACGCTGCATTTCGATGCTTGCAATCGCACCGATGAGGCTCCACCATACCAGTTAATCGCTTCTATTAAGGAACACATCAAGGTTTGAGACTTAAAACATTGGCGGCTAATATTAAGTGAAATAAATCTACCTAATTTGGATCAAAAAGATCCCCACTGCTCGTCTGGTAGCATATTATGTGGTCAGACTCGCGCAAAGGTAATCAAATGATCTACGTTGAAACTCAAGCAAACGCTTGGTGACCACATTACATAGATATTAAGATGTGTTACGCATTCAAGAAGTGAGAGTTCAGGTGTAGTTGTTCAGTAATTTAAGTTTAAATGTCTGTCAAAATACACGAAGAACCATGATAAAATGTTATTGACAACACGCAAACGTTACTTGAATGAAGAACAACTTCAAAGTCGTTTGAGACGAAGGCAGAGACAGGTGGGATTTCTTTAAATGTCTAGTGAGCTCGAATTGTTTTCCATTCCATATCATCACAAGCACTGATGTAATTCAACAACTTTTGGCTAAGTAACTTCCAAATATGGAGAAAAGTGAATATTTGAATGTTCCTATTAAACGTATACCATCGGTTATCAGCTAGCAGTCTGAACATAAGCTTATATCTTATATATTCTTTTGGTGGTTACCTGACTGCAAGAGTGCTCTCAAGTTGTTAGGCTTCTTCGGCTTTTTCATTATTAAGGCTCGTTGATTTTCGTTTTGAGAAATTATAAATTCGCCACAACAGAGCAACTATCTTTAAATCCATCGTTGATTGACAACACTATATAGTACGCCTGTAATACTGTTCGTTATTTTGGGAAAAACATCGCAATAGTTTTCACAATTCTGAAGTCACTCATTCTAGATATCAAAAGGTATAAATTTTATCATCATAAATTTCAAAACACCGGTGCTAGATCATTGCTACTTCAGAAATATATTACACTCAACCTCCGATATTACTCAGTGATTCAGCAAAAACTGTAGGTGTTCAAGACGGTCGCATGATAATTTCATATATATGTGCTTATGAGTTATCGCAGCTTCGGCTGATGCACATTAATACCAAACCGTTAATCGCACACATTTACTAGATCCGATGGATTAACTAATAAGTGAAGGTATTATGTATGTACTAGTGGACTGTAATTACATATAGTTATCACTAATAAACTAATTTTGTGTCATTCGAATACATGCTTTACCATCACATCGCACTCATACACAATAGAATCTTCGTAATCACAGTTCACTATATATCCCTCGTGTTTTTAGTTCTTGACAGTAATCCACCATTTAAGCTAAAAGCTCGGATGTGCTCAATGCTTATTATCAGACGATAACATGGAAAATTCAACTGACATAACCGTAAAAGCAGTCTTCAACTCGCAATATGATATTTTGAACCTAGTTATCTTAATAACCGTTTTATCTGACCAACAAACAACCAAGTTATAGCTAGTGATAATGTGTATTTCCCAATAGAAAAAACTATTATAAATATTTTAGGTGATCGACTGTGTGGTATAAGCTTCCCGAGTTATGACAAAGCAACCAACCACAAAATATTTAACAGTTTCTAGTTGGGTGAATACACGGTCATCTAGACAGTTGAGAACAAGCGATAAATGTATGAAGAATACAAAATGCAAATTGAAGCGAAATAACAAACCGCGTTATGTGACAGACTCTCGAAACTGTAGTACGCTCTGAACACAACAGTAGAAATGGTAGCATAGCTTCGGCTACAGAGACTTGTTTATAAACTTTAAAAATAAAACCAGATGATGATGCGTAATGAACCCAACATTTTCTCTCCTGACATAGGATTAGGTTGCAGTGGTAGGTGAACACTGTCGTGACATTTTACCATAACAAATAAGGAAACGTAACTACCGTCGAACAACAAATGTGTTTGCCGACCATCCGTTCAAAGAACATGTCTCATTTGTCATAGAGACTATTCCTGCCTTATTTCATAAGCAAAAGCATATACTCAGTGTTAGTGGCGTAGAAGCCAATCGCTCCTGAAGCAGACAAACTGGCAGCTATTACAAATGTTAATGAGAAGGTAGAGCAAACTCCACATAATCTGAACGTGCACGATCAGGAAGAAATTCCACGATTATATGTTTTCAACATATCAAAGGAATTTCGTTAATCGTTTTAGCGAAATGTTTAGGTCACTTTTATCGTGTGCTTTGTGATATCACAGATACTGCCCAGCGTTCAGTGGTCTGTCGCGTAACGTAGTCGAAGTTTCAGCTTGACAGATGAGTCGTGTATGCTTCTGTGAAATAGTACTGGCCCTACTTAAGTATTTGGATTGTCGAATATAGTCATTTAGGCTAACCAAGTTTTTGTATTCAAATTATTTGGAGCAGAAAATAAAATCAACATGAAATTTTAAAAATTGTAAAGTAAATTGAGTGAAAACGTTTTACGAGAAACTTTGTTATAGCACTTGAAAATTACTTCTGAAATACGGGCGGCATGGTGATTTTTATTCCGCGTTTATTAAAACGTCAGATCCGTTACGTTAAAACGTACTGCTACGTAGGTAATAAAAAATAGTTTCTAAACATGATATAACTTATCATGTTTGAAATTTGTGGTTTTTAGTATGGTTTGAACTGTACTGTATGTGTAGTGACTATATCTTGGAGTCGGGTTGCTAAACTGTTAGCCATTGAATATTACCAAGTAATCAGGGCCGTACAGAAACAGCAAGAAGCTGGTCACTGATAGCTTATCCGAATCTGGTATAAAGTAAACTATTTTCCCTCATCAAACGATCGTTGAAAATTCCTTAATTAGTTTTACTACGAGTTGTTATAGTACACCAGTTCAGATACATTCCATATTTTATGTGCTTTGTAATGGGTCGCGGGCAAACTAATGTGTCGATTAATCGTAATGTGATTTAATGTAGTTCATGTACATAAAAATATGCATGGAAATAAGTCATAAGAGTAAATACAGAGTAAGTAATAGTACAACAAATGCTACATATGTTTGTTTGTCACGGTAATTTCCGATTTTTAAACAATTATCTTTCGTATTTGAAACGGCTGTGTATAATATTCATGACAATCTGCTTGGAAGATTATTTGAGTAGGTATTTTTTTTGATCAAACCTAATATGATGCTGCTAAAAATCTCAACAAACTTCAAAATTGATGTCTCATATAATGAATTCCAGCTTCAACTGCTGTTTGCGTCTGAGGTTAGACATTGTCAAGAAGTTTAAACTACTGACGGTTAATGATGTGTATAGTCATCATAATGACTTTAACAATTATCAAAGTGTATATATACTCATCATTCAACCAGTATGGAAGGAAATGAGAATAGTAGAATCATTAAAAGAAACTATCTAGATCCAAACAGAAATAATGAAAACATGATTTAGTACAAAAGGTTTATCTATGTATTCATGCTTTAGGGGCTTCAAGTCATCATCAACAGCAACGTAGAACTTTGCACGTAAGTACAGCAGTCCAAGTTGCCATACTACATTGGCACTTAGATATAATTTTCAGTTCAAATCCCACAGTATTAAAGGTAGTGAAAGTATCAGAAGTAACTGAAGAGATTAGGGTTCGAAGATGGTATTCAAGAAGTATGATTCAGTGAGGTAAATTAAGAAAGAGAAAGATAGAAGCAATGAAGAATTCAGAAGGTCAGAATTTGAGAGAAACCAAAGAGTCGATGCACTTGCTCCATGGCAAACGATTTTGAGCCATGTCATTCAGGGTCTCCAACTATCGATTATCACCATCTCGTGGCCCACAACCAGGTAGTCGACATCTACCGACATACTCAGTCCACTTGTCAGTGACTTCATGGACTTGTGCCATGTTTTGGTCTGGCGGCCCCTAGCTTTCGTCCAACCTATTCCCATATCGCAAAACAGCTCGTCGAGGCAGTCGGTGGTTAGGCACACGCAGCACATGTCAAAACCACATCAACTGATGAAGTTTCATTACTTCATCTATTGACCTACCATCCTTACCTAGCACCCGATTCCTAACAAAGCATTGCTTACTCGGCTGTCGCAAGATACCAGGAGACACCTATGATGGAAAACCAGTAACCCTACGATATGTTCTACTCTCACTGGCCATGTTTCACAGCCATAAAGTAGGACGGAGCGAACTGCTGAGCATTACGCTCATCCTTTAGTCAGCAAACGGATATCTAGCCTTCGCCATAAGTGATGCTGTTTGGCAAAAGCCAATCGAGCCTACTGTATGCGTGCTGAGATTTCGTCAGTCACCACTCCATAAAAATTAGGAGGACTTATGTCGGTTTCCCATTCATGATGGTTGGAGATCTTGGGCAACCGAAGTGTGACTGAAGGCCAGTTGAACTGACCCCTTAAGCGTTCTGCCTATTGATCTAATCTCCTGGATTGAGAATGGATAATAAGACCATCCTTTTCTGAGATAGTTTCGGTAACGGATGTATTTCTAACACCGGTTTACTTGATAAGTCGGAACAATTGTCTACTGTTGCCTATCGCCTCTGCCGTTTCTATCGCTCTGACTTTCGCTACTCACCACTGTTCACGATCATTTCGGAGGCATTTTATCGGCCTGTGCTTAAGCTGACTTCGCATTTTGTTATGATCAGAGCTAGGGAACATGAGTTTTCGAGCATCCATCAGTTCAGTGGATTCCACTGAGATCCAAGGCTAGACGAACGTCTAGTCCGACGATCGGGGCCTAAATCTGTTCTGTCAAAACTTTCGGCTTTGGTGACATTCGGTATATTAGGAAGTAACAATACTTTCGCGTCAAACAGGTTTTTGTCCAAGTCACGAATATACTGTTTACCTACCTATAAATACAGAATCATCGCGATTACAAATTGTATTTCATGATATCAGGAAGTCCTTCACTTTTCCGGACAAGTTCGTGTTTTAGGTTAACTTATTGGAGGAATTTAGAAAGTTGTAAAGAATTTGAAGGACCTAGGTACAAGCTTACTGAGCAAGGTGGAGCTATACAGTCAATTCTCTACACTACTTCAACCCAGCAGCGGAGTTTCATATAGTTTTCCAGTTTCAAATGATTTACCATTTCTGTTAATGGCATTCTAAATATAGCTTTGAAAGAAGGATGTGGTGGTGGCGCAGATCTTTTCCTAAAGGAAGAAATTTCAACTGTGTTGATATCTTATGATGCGATTTCGTACTTCTCAAAATTTATATCCTTAGTTGCCAAATAAATCCGTTTATAATTGATGTATTTTGCAGCTTCTGGATATAAATTGCTCATAAATTATTAGCGGTGATTAATGTGAAGAAACGTAGAAAGTGATCGGGGACCTTTAGTATTTGTAGTTTTTTTTTAAACGTCATATATACAGTACACTGATTGCTTGTTCGTATTCTATGAATGTTAATATAGCTGCTTCTTTGCTTTACATTACTGCACGGCGTCGAGTTTGGATGAATAGAGAGTAATGGTACTCAGTTAATGACAGGGTACTGAAGTATGAAGGATATGTACAGAAGTGGTACTTTTCAAGCGTTACGAGTTGGTGGTTGTGTAGTGAAGGAGAACACAGGTGGGGCAACCGAATTGTATTTAGCGAAATTACAGGGTTACTCAGTAAAATTGGAAAACCATATCGTAAATCGTTAATTTGCAAAGTATCAGTTCATCCTATCGAACTGGACTGTTCCTGTTGCAAAACATCAATCCAATGTCACTGTTCATGCGTTTCATACAAATTCCATTGTTTTCTAACTCTTCCTTTCTTGATCTTCCCCCATATTATGCTGCCAGACATTACGTTGACACTCACATCATATACTACTTGTAAGTAGCTCACACCACAGTTGGAACCCCAGGTCATAGGCAATGGCGGTTCTCGCTCGTATTTTTAAAATAATTGATGGACAATTTCACCTACAAAAATTCATTTCGGTTATGAATTTTAGATGAGCTGTTTCATTAAGTTCCTTTCTCGTTTATTTTTTTGATTGGGAAGGCCTTTTCTCCCACACTTTATTTCAATACAGCGACACACTTTTAACAATTCCATCACATTAGAATCCACATAAAGACAGAACGAACAGAAAGAGGGGATGTTTATTTTCAATTAGCTTTTTATCGTGGCCTTAGACCCGTTTATATTCGCAACAGAAAAATAATGCAAATCGACTAGCAGCATTGCATAATTTTACTATCCCACGAATGATTATTCAGATGTCTGATGATTAATTTAGTGATCAGGAGGGCGTGGTAACCGTGATAAGTAAAATAACTTTGTGTAAACACTGGAAATATTTAATTGAGCGGTTGTAGAACTCTACGGTACTTTGATAGGTGTGATGTTCCAACCATAGGCGTTGGTAACGCCTAATCTGTGGACAGCTAGAGATTTTTCAGGAAATAAAGATCCGTTTCCCAAGACTCACGAACCCACCAGGTGGATGTGCTTTCGTATGGAACCGTATGTTTTGAAACTCATTTCTCTGTTGTCCTGCTTAACTCATACAGTTTCTGCTAATCGGTGCTGATGTCATCTTGGAATATACCAAACCAGAAAGGTAAATATTTATTTATCCTTAGGGAATGCAAACATATAGTTATCAATAACCTATACGGTCATACCACATGGAAATCTATGAGATATATATCACCTCTACATGAAATTGAAAAGGAATGGTATGTTAATATGCAATCAGTATTCAATTTCACCACTAGGCAACCTAATCTATCAAAAGTAGCGGCTTATCATAATACAGGAGCAGAATTATTACAGGTAATTTTCATTTGTTTTCTCTAGTACCTATTTTTTTAAGGGTGGATGGAGAAAATGGAATTCTTCGGGGCATCCAGATATTCTGGCAATATCTTCAGCAAGTGTAGAACCTGACTGGTACACTAGACGGCGGCTTGATGTTCGCAATGCTGATAAAAAATATTGTGAAGAATGGGCGTATGATAGGTGGAAGAGACCGACTAGTTTTCCTGTGCTAAAAGTTCAAAACTTAGCATCAAAGGAGAATTTATCAGTACACCCTGTCTTTGGGAAAAAGAAGACTACAACTAAACCTAACCTTGTTCATACGGGGATAAAACCGATACACTATGGCATTGGTGAAGGTATTCGCAGCTGTAAGCTAGTACTAGAAAAGAAAAATTAAAGTTATTCAGGGTAAAGAATTTTAAAAGATAATATTTTTAATAAGGTCAAATACATCACTCAGGTGTTATTCAACAGAACTAAAACTCATCAGATATTTTATTCTGATGTAAACTAAAAATGGATAATTTACTTAATGCTAAAGCATTTTTTAAAGAAAACAATAAATAAATCTAGACATTCATCAAGTTTCACTGTTTTACAAAAATACACGCACTGGAAGTAAAATATTCAGATTAACTGATAAAGACTGAATCATAATAATAAATGTTTTTCGAGAGTTGTATATGACTTTTAACTACAGCTGCCAAATACTTATTTGAAATCATGGACCGACCAGTTAGACCACCATCAGATACTTGGAGGGCCGCTTCTTCTTAATGTGGGACTCTTCAACAGCACGCACCTACCACCCCCGCCCGCGAGAATCAAACCTAGGACCTTCGGTCTCGTGCGCGAACGCTTAGCCACCGAGCCGGCATCCAACGTTGTTGATGTCTAACTTTGATCAATCTAAGGTTCCACGCAACCTCACTCGTTGTCTTCGGTAGCTCCGGCCTACATCTGACAAGGTTGAACTCCACTGGTCATGGCTTTTCGCTAGAACCCCAGAAATTTCATCACAAGGTTAGTCACTAGTGAGTACATCGATTCATGAGTTTAATGAAAAACAACAATCTTCATTGCTTTGTAAAAAATTACTCATTTGTAATAATTTGAACAAGTGTTATTCATTCATGTAGCCGAAACTACCTCACAGACCGTGTAAGTAAATATCGCATGGATAAGCAATAAATACGCATCAATAACCGATTATATGAAAAAATCTAGTGTCATATGTATCGACCTATATGATCGTCAACTACGTTGCAATTCGCTAGAATAAATACCACACAATTTCCTGAGATGAGGGTGGTTAGCTAGTCCGTCACCGTATGAGGTAGGAATGTAGTAATAAAAATATAGTTGGCATGAAACCCGTCAGGCTTGTTTCTTACGAAATTCACTCTAGTTCAGTTAAGAGGTGTTCAACTATTTTGTACCATAAACTGTACCACTATTTCTGATTGTTAGTTAAAGTAGTGTTTCTTAAGAGTGCAAATGATATATCGCCTAAATTGATGGAACATAAGCGAATTGCTGAAAATCTTCCTTCATATCTTCAATGTGCCACAAAAATTAAGCTCAAACTAATGACTTTTGGAAGACATGGCGAAGATAAATCGTTAGACTGATCTCACTCACCACGTCTCTGAAATCACAATTTGTCATTCTGTTGCAGCTTCATGTCGTCCCGTTAATTATTACGAAGTGACCCTATAGAGGTTACTAACGCCACTGTACTAACACTTTCATGAAGCTTACTATGGATAACCATTAAATAACTGTTACGAATTCACGTAAACAAGTCATTTGATATGCTTGAACTATTACGAGTTACCTTAGGCGGAAAACGAGAGTGAGGATCGAGGATCCGACGACACGACATGCTACTCTAATCCGATTGTCCCAAACCTCATTGAATAAGAGAAGAAGACTTGATATGAAGTAGAACGTGTATTCTACAAGCATCCAATAGGTACGAGGTCTGAGTCCAGGAGAGAATCAGGATCCCGGACTAGGGATCCGGGTCCGGGTCATTGACGTTGCAGATAATGCGTATCTATACAGTTAAATCGGATAGGAAACAACATTGAAAACTGTGACATTGATAGTTAAGACGACTGATAGGAAACAACATTTAAAGTGACATTGACAGTTAGGACGGTAAATGTCAACTACCTGGTTGGGGTCCGCGAGATGATAATAATCGATGGTTAGAGACCTTGAATGACATGGCTCAAAATCGTTCGCAATGGTGCCGGTGCATTTATTCTTTGTGTTCTCTCCAATCCTAATCTTCTGGATTCTTCAACACCTTTAGTTTCGACTCTCTAAACTTTTCTCACTGAATCATACTTCTTGAATAATATCTTCTAATCCTAACCTCTCCGATTACTTCTAATTCCCTTACTACCTCTACTACTATTGGATTCGAATTGACAATTATATCTCTGTGCTGATGTGGTATGGCAACATGAACTGATGTACTTGCGTACGAAGTTCTACGTGGCATCTGACTGACTGACGTCCAATGGGAAACAACAGAGAAGTGTGTAGCATTGACAGTTAGGACGACCATAATATTGACCAGTAGGAATCGACCAATAGAATTGGACTTCCAAAAATAATTCTCTTAGGATATTTGATGAATATCCTAACAATAACATAGGCTTTCATCCGTCAGTTTACAAACCATATAAGTATTATTATCGATCCTGCAGCTACAGGCTCTTCCCCGACCGTAGTTGCTACCTTGACGTGGTGGTCGGGCTTGCCTATCGTGATGACCAAACCGAGATATGTTGGCTGGAACATATGTTCCTGAAGGTTCTACCATATCACTCAGATCGATTGGAGAACAATGAGACTAAAAGCAGTTACTCAATGTCTGAGGGTGAAGTCGTACTGCTGACAGCAGAGGAGTATGACAGCATTAAGGTGTTTCCCTCGGACAACCAGCATCTGTAGCGATGCTGCCTTCTCACAAGGAAGAAGGGGGTTACAAAAGGTCGACCCTAAAAATGTCACACCTCACGCTACCTCACGGATTTCCGTCTCTGTCGGTAAGGGTATCCACTAAAGGCTTTTAACAGCGCAACTAATACTCAAAAACTTTTCATAAAAAGGCCGTGCGTGACCGGCCTCAAGCAGTTGTCCCTCGGGCTCTGCGGTCACGCACCCAGGTCGTTAAGACTTACACTGCAACAGAAGAGATCAAATTGGTCACAATCGATTCCTTCCTACACCCTCTAACATCCCACATCTCTTCACGATTAACTCTACTCACATTCCTTTAAAACCCCACACCTCAGACAGTCAGTAAGTCAGATGCAACGTAGAACTTCGTACGTAAGTACATCAGTTCATGTTGCCATACCACATCAGCACAGAGATATAATTGTCAATTCGAATCCAATAGTAGTAGAGGTAGTAAGGGAATTAGAAGTAATCGGAGAGGTTAGGATTAGAAGATATTATTCAAGAAGTATGATTCAGTGAGAAAAGTTTAGAGAGTCGAAACTAAAGGTGTTGAAGAATCCAGAAGATTAGGATTGGAGAGAACACAAAGAATAAATGCACCGGCACCATTGCGAACGATTTTGAGCCATGTCATTCAAGGTCTCTAACCATCGATTATTATCACCTCGCGGACACCAACCAGGTAGTCGACAATTACCGACATGGCTCAGTCCACTTGTCAGTGACTTAATGGATTTATGCCATGTTTTAGTCTGGCCGCCCCTAACTTTCTTCCAACCTAGTCCTACACTACAAAACAAAGCTCGACGAGGCAGTCGGTGGTTGGGCATACGCAACACATGTCCCAACCACCTCAACTGATCAAGTTTCACTACTTCATCTATTGATTTGCCATCCCTACCTAGTACTCGTTTCCTAACGACAACATGGCTTACTCGGTTGTCCCACGGTATACGAGCAGTGCTTCGAAGACACCTATGATCGAAAACCAGTAACCTACGAATATCTTCTACTCTCACTGGCCATGTTTCACAGCCATATAGGAGAACGAAGCGAACTGCTGCACAGTACACTCGTCCTTTAGTCAGCAAACGGATATCTCGCCTTCGCCATAAGTGACGCAGGTTGGCAAAAGCCGATCGAGCCTTCTGTATCCGAGCTGAGATTTCGTCAGTCACCAGGCCATCGGCACTGATGAGACTCCCAAGATAAGTGAAGCGGTCTACACGTTCGACTACTTCACTCCCTATCACTAGTTCAGGTGCCGATGCAACCCAACCTTGAAGCAACATTTTGCATTTCGAGGGGGAAAACCGCATCCCTGCAGGAACATATGTTCCAGCCAGTATAGCCATCCCATCCTTTTCCGAGATGGTCTCACTCACATTCGGGTTCTTAATACCAGTTTCTTTAATAAGGCGGAAAAGTTGTCTAGTGTTGCCTATCGCCGCTGCCTTTTCCATCGCTTTTGCTTTCGCCACCCACCACTGTTCGCGGTCGTTACGCAGACTTTTTATAAATCTGCGCCTAAGCTGACTACGCTCTTCATCATGTTCAGAGTCAGGTGGGATGCGTTTTCGAGCATCCATCAGTTCGGTGGATGCGACTGAAATCCACGGCTTCATCCTAGCCTCATGGTTTACCTTCCTAGCAGATATCACTGCTGTTTCCACAGCCTTTTTGATGTCATACCAACCTGCTTCTGGATGGGAATCACTTACATGGTTGCTTAACTCTCTTTCTAGTTGCTCCTGAAATATTTTCTTAGTTTGATTATCATTAAGTAAAACCCTAAGAGGCTTTCTTACGGTGTCTTTCCTACGTCCAGTAAGCCTTAAACAGATACGAGCTAGCACTAGAGCATGATCTGAATCCAAACATTTGCCCCAGAACGAGCGACAGTCTTCTATTGAACCCCTCCATCGGTGGCTGATGGCGATGTGATCTAGTTGAGTCCAACGTTGAGACGACTTCGGGGGTCGCCAGGTCAACAGATGCTTTCCCTTATGCCTAAAGTTAGTGTTCGCTAAGAATAGGCGATTATCTGAGCAGAGTTGCAACAGACGGTCGCGATTGTCTGTTCTCTCAGTCGCTACACCATAACATCCACCTAGATGTCTTTCCTTTTCACCTAGTCTACCTCCTTGAGCATTAAAGTCACCAGCCATTATTACTATATCAGAGCGCCTAGCTTTTTGGAGGAGGTCCGAAAGCTTTCTGTAAAACTCATCTTTAACCTCGTCTGCACTGCATTCAGTGGGGGCATAGGCAGATATGACGAAGAGGCAACGGCGAGTGTCCCTATCCTTACGAGTCCTTACTGTCCCGTTTAGTCTGACAGCGCACAAACGACTATCTACTGGGATCCAGTCTAGGAGAGATAGTTCTGCCCTACGACTCAACGGTATGCCTACGCCAGCAAGACCTCGGGAAGCAGCATCAGGGCTACCGGATACACGAAGAGTAAATCAAGCTGCTTCTTCGTTTTGACAAGGTGGTTTCAGGTTAATGACTTTACTAGGATCCTGTATGTGCGTTTCCGAGACGCAGCATACATCGATGGCACGAGTTTCTAAAGTCCTAGCTAAGGAAGCCTGTTGCCCTATTTGACACAATGTCCGTACATTAAAAGCTCCAACATGTAGTCTAGAACG